CAAATTCATCCTTAAGGCAATTATATTTACTCATTCAAGGAACTTTACTATCAATATGAGGTTGTCTTTAGAAATTAATTAGTGACCTACTTGGTGTGATCCTATGACAGAATCTTCACTTTGTACCTCAATTTGATAGGATTAAAAACCGAGGAAAACTGAGCTTGGGGGTACATGCCCATAATCCTAATTATTCAGGATGCTGAGATAGGATGATTGCAGGTTCTAATTCAGCCTCAACCTCAGCCTCAGTCACTTAATGAGACCTTCTCTCAAAAAAAAAAAAAAAAAATAGGGAGTCAAGGAGGTACCTCAGTGGCAGAGTACTTGCCTACCATACTCAAAACCCTGGATTAAATTCAATAAGTAACATCACAAAAACAGAGCAACACAGAAATGCTCTAAATGGGGATGACTATGTCTACCACTGTTTAGATCTAAAGAATGCCACACTACATGTATGATACTGTGATTCATATCTGACATTCACGTGCACACACACACACACACGCGCATGCACGCATACCCACTAATTCAGGAAAACTTTGGTTTCCTGGTACCTAGTACCATATTTAATACTCATTTTGATCTTCATTACTACTAGAAGAATTTTTCAATTACAGTTTTACAAATTTACAAAGGTGTTATGTGGCTTTTGAAAGACCCTATTAATGAGTATGAAAATAACTGGAAGACTTATTAATGAAGGTGAAAATCTTAGATTCAGGGGTTTGTTTGCCTGTGACATAATTGAATAGACTAAAGAGCAAAATTTACCTGAATTTCAGATTTGAATACCACATAACTCCATTAATTTTAATATAATGAAAGTGTGTGGTACGGATGGTATCCATTTTTTTCTGATATGGCCTTTGAGTAAACCAGGATAAAAAAATTCAGGCTAATTACTACTTTAGGAGTCATTGACTGACTTTACAACCCTCATATGAGAAAAACTTCAATTTTCCTAAAATTTCATTGAAATAATATTGAAACATTGTGAAACAATATTGAGTCACAGACTCATACCTGTGACACAGTGTGGTGTGGCATTATTTGTATCTAAACACTGGTAAACATAGTTATACCCATTTGTAGTGTTTTTGTGTTGCTCTGGTTTTGTGTATTTGAAGGTTATTGGTGAAAATTCATCAATAAAAGACAATAACATTTTAGCTACAGTTTATAATTTTCTATATATGGATTGTTCAACATGCGTAAACAAATCCAATCCCCAGTGGCCTAATATCTCATTTCAAGATCCTTACTTTTACAGTTTCAGGAATATAATTTTAAGAGAGTTCAAATGTACTGTGTCTTGCTAATTATTATTTACATGGATTCTTTTAAAATATAGACAAGTGATGATCGGTGAGATGATCACATCTCAGTGTGACACCTACTGACTGATTATCTAAAGTTAACACATCTATATGTATTGCACTTATTGTGTTTGTTGAATCAATGATCCATAGCATAGGTAATGGCTCAGTTTTTGAGCACTGACCATTGCATTTAATTAATAAAAAGTACACATACATCATATACTCAATAACATTCAATTCACTCTTAGTCAGGCATGGTGGCGCATACCTATAATACCAGTGATTCATAAAGCTGAGGCAGGAAGATCACAAGTTTGAGGTCAGCCTCAGCAATTTAGTGAGGCCCTAAGCAACATAGTGAGACCTTGTCTTAAACCAAAAATGAAACATAAAAAAAGAACGCTAAGGATGTGGGTCAGTGCCTGCTGGATTCAATCACCAGCCCCTGTCCCAAATATAATTCACCCTCTTAAAAAATATCCTATTCCTGTCCTCTTAGATAATGACTCTGAGGGAAAAGTACTTTTGCCTTCTGCAATAAAAGTCAGCCAAATGTTCTGAACTGAATGTGCATGAACTCTAGCCCACCTTAACACCAAGAAGGCACGAACTATCTCTGCTGCATATTTAGGTAATGTGTAGATGTATACATGAGGAGGGAGTGCCATTACTTCAATCAATGTTGAGAATTTATGCAATCTCAAAGGCAGAAGATCACATAAAAATCATGGCCCATAGAAACATGTTGGCAACTATCCTCAGTGAAAGTTGTTAGATATGAATTTGGGCACCCTTTTTTTTATTCTATATTTTATTTTGGGCATGAGAAAACAAAATACCTGAGATAAACTTGTGTGACTAAACCAAAATATATGCTTATAAGTGGAGAACAAATGCTAATCTATTAAGCTTTGTTCCAGTGACCTATAATTCTATTCATAGCTCTCTTCCTCTCATTGCATCTTACAGTAAATTTACAGAAAGAGTTACACTTTCCACTAATATGATGTGAGTGCCATCCTTTGGTCATAAATATATTCCAAATAGACCATCCAACTAGTGAAGAGTCTCTCCAAGTAAGTAAGGTCTACTCATTTGGTCAATCTGAATATTGATATGTATTCTTTTTTAAAAAAAATATTTATTTTTTAGTTGTAGTTGGACACCTTTGTTTTATTTATTTATTTTTATGTGGTGGTGAGGATCAAACCCAGGGCTTCTCATTCACTAAGCAAACATTCTATTGCTGAGCCACAACCCCAGCCCCTTGATATGTATATTTATTGAGTGGCTGCTCTACTTAACCAAAGACAAAATCTTTAATCATTACCTAACTTTGATGTGCCTGAAAGTTATGGAATTTTTTTATTGATAGACCAATGTTCAATATTCATTTATTTTTTATAAGAAACTACACCCAAATTTGTATAATATAAGCTATAATACTAAGAGTTTCATTCTGCCTTTGATATACTGCATAAATATTGAAAATTTAAGGATTCTAACAACAAAAATGAAAATGTGAGACTTTATATTACAAGTTACAATAGTAACTTGATATTTACATTATGCCTCAAATTAATTTTATTGATGAGGCAATTCATACATGAGTTTCAGTTGCTTAATAGAATGTGAATGTTTTAATTTTAGAATAATGAAAGTTGATGCAATGAATGATAAATGCTGCTTGAAAACCAATGTTATTCAGAGTTGTTGATATAGTTATAGACCATGACATAGTTGTACCTTCAATTGTATCCTTTTAGACTTCAAATGAAGTTGAACATGCAAAATATTAGTGCTGTGTCCCAAGCATATATATAAGGAAGATAGGATAAATGAAATGCTCTATAATTTGACTAACATAAGAGCAGTTCCACAAAGATAAGATCTCTGTATTATGTGTCACTTATGCATTGGTTGATATTAGGCTACAACCTCCATAACAGGACATTTTAAAAGTAAATACCACCCATCAAGGAAAACATTAAACTACTCATACCTCATGAGAGGTAGACATACATTTGACACTAGCACAGAAGCTCAAAGTGGAGAAAACAGCTTTGACCTGATGAAATGAGGGATCAATACGAGATGAATGTTTAAACAAGAATACACTGAAATTCATTACATAAATGGAAACATAGTAGCCAGTGTGGAGGCCCATGCCTATAATCCCAGTGACTTGGAGGGCTGAAGCAGGAGGATCACAAGTTTAATGCCAGTCTCGGCAACTTAGTGAGGCCTTGACTCAAAATTAATTTTTTAAAAAAGGGGCTGGGGGGCTGGGGATGTGGCTCAAGCGGACTGTGCTCACCTGGCTTGCGTGGGGTGCTGGGCTCAATTCTCAGCACCACATAAAAATAAAATAAAGATGTTGTGTCCACCGAAAAAACTAAAAAACTAATAGTAAAAAATTCTCTCTCTCTCTCTCTCTCTCTCTCTCTTAAAAAAATCAAGGGGGGTGTGTGCTGGGGATATAGCTCAGTGGCAAAGTACCCTGGGTTCAAACTCAAACTCCAGTACCAAATAAAAGAAGAAACATGACTTTTGAATAACCAAGGATAAGCATGTCCAGGTCAAAGAGAATGCATGTGGATAAAGGAGGAATCTTGGGCTGAGTAGATGATGTTAATTTATATTGTTTTAAAAAGAGGTAATGACTTTAAAATAATGCTAAATAGGATTACACAAAAGAGCAGACTAAGTGAAAATTCTGAAAGAGGATATTGGAATGAATATTTTCACACTCAGGGCAAGTGAATTTGAAAGGAACCTCCAGATATTCAGAGGACCTCTTTCCAGGTGATCTAAATGAACCAATAAAACTCATTCAGAAGAATCGGTGTATACCCAAGAAACTAGAACTCCAAAAATATTTGCTGCCCCTCACTCAGCTCATTTTCACTAATTATGCTGACTTTTAGTGAGATGGGCTACCAAGATTGGCACCACTGCCTCAGTGGTCATAAGTGAGTGGATTTCAGGAGTCATGAGCCATTAAGCTATGGAGTTGAAAGTCATGAAGGCCACCTTTAGGGCCATAAGGATGGATTCATTAGACAACCTGAATCACAACGTGGGGATAAATTCTGATTAATAGACATAATTTCTGTACCTCACCCCACGTATTACTTTAAATAATAACCTGCAATGGTGAAGGAAGTCACGTCAAGAGAAAATTGGTTTCTTCACAAAAACACATGGCAAGCATTACCCTCCTAAGTGTAGGTTTCGGTCCGCCCAATACTGCCACTAGGTCTGAGTGGGGCAAAGGGAAATTAGGAGATCATCAGAAAGAACTTTTGCCCATGGTGGATCCAGTCCTCAGAGATGAGGTACTAAGATTCAGGAATTGGCCCTACACACAGCCATGATTAGGCAGATTGTGTTGAGAAGTGGGGTAGGTAATGGTCGTCATGAAGCATAAAGGGGTGGAGGTAATGTTGAATCAATTGGTTGAGGTTGAGAAAGATGCTATAGGAAGGGCCTCACCCTCCAAGAAAACACTTTGTGTGTCCACATTCTCTGAGTCAAGATCAAGCATCCCTCTGAAAATAGCCCTTATACTTGGAGTGACCCAAGGCAATGTGCTGGTCAGGAAGAAATATGAATTTTGGCTAAATTCCTCATGATGATGTTAAGACTGATTCTGAACCATGGGTTCCTCCACAGGCTAGAAGAATCTTATTTCAGGTGAAGGAAGAAACATTCATCATGGTTTCCATATTTTGGCTTTGCTCTGTGTCTGAGATGTGTACAGAAAATAGATGAGGATGATCCCAAGAAAGAAGATGGTTCAGGGGCCACAGCAGAGATTTCTGAGTTCTGTGGTTTGAAATACTACCTAGGTATGAGCACTATTCATTGAATTGGGATATCAGATTTGAGAATGTGGAGATGCACAAGAATACCTTTCAGTGTACATAGAATCATTGGAAGAGAACCATGTATACTAGACTTGGTATGAGACAGAGGCCAGACAGATGAACAATGACAGATAAACAATCAGGCCTCTATTCAAAATCTCTTATTACAAAGACTTTTCCTGGTGGGCTGGGGCTGTGGCTCAGAGATAGCACACTTGCCTGGCATGTGTGGAGCACTGAGTTCAATTCTCAGTACCACATATAAATAAATAAAATAAAGGTCTATCAACAACTAAAAAAAAAATTTTAAACTTTTCCTGAACCCCCAATCTTCCAATGTATGAAATCTGTCTCCTTCCCATTCTTAACCAGATCAATCATGAATGCCAGCTATGAGGCAATGCCAAGAGATACTAAAGAGTCTTCCAAATTAAAAAAACTCCTTAAAGGAATTATCATAATATCCGAACATTTTTTCCTGAAAGACTGAGCCATTCTTTGTTCACACCTATGCCTTCTCTCTCAATCTAAGTTGTATCTTGCACCTGAAGGTGAAACATTCCATATCCCATTTCTTTCCCCAATAAAGATCTGCCCAAAATTCATACTTATATGATACAGATTCCTTTCAATATGCACCTTCTCAAAAGTTTATATCTCCTGTATCAGATTATGCTATGACACATGGTATGGCAATGAGGGCATAAGAGTCAAACAAAACCAGAAAAGGCTCCAACTGTGCAAAAGTTACATGCTCTGGTATGCTGGTGAAAACCAGCATCCAAATTAGGTCACTTTTTAGATTACCTCATCACCTCCCTCCATTGGGAAAATACATAGAACAAACACAGCTAAAAGAAATCATATTCACTTGTAAAAAATGGTACTCTTATAGGCTGAATTTGTAGCTCAGGGGTATGATGATGGCCTAGCATGCATTATTAGCATATGGGTTTGATCCAAAGCACAGAAAAACAAAAACAAGATAGTTCTACATCTTACACACACAAAAAAACCCCCTAATTTTATATTTATATGAACTAAAGTGAAAAGTAGAACATGGTACACGTCAACAAATATAACTAATTCTTAATTTTATAGCCAAAAAAGTAGTGTAGCAATGAGAAATATACAAACTCTTAGTAAGAAAATAAGACCATAAGAAAAATTATCCTCAATAAGACAAATGCTTAAAACCATAGAATGAGACAGAGAGTCAGGTTCAAGTAATATGCTGAAAGAAAATAACAAGAGAACTCAAGCATCACTATGTCCCTCTAGGGGCAGCCACACTGGGGGCAATAGACCTGGAAGTCCCACCAGGAATCCCAGGTGGTCCAAGCTGGTGGAGATGCTCCTCAATCAGGCACAAAATTTCCAAGCTCAGGGTACTTGCTACTCTTCCCACAAGAAAGTTCCAGGGCTACCTCTTACTCAGCTCCTTTGCCCTCCTTTTGCTTTCCAAGGAGACCAGCAGAGGAGGCTGGCCCCTCTTCCTCCACAGGCAAAGTTGAGCAGATGACTGGGGTTATGGGGCTGAATCACTACTGCAGGGGAGAGCAAAGGGTGAAGCCAGGAGGCAAAGGTGGAGGCCTCAAGCCAAGGTGAAGACAACCCTGAGATCCTTTGTCCAGGAAGGAAGCCATTTGGGGATCTCCTTGCTCCAGGTCACCTTCCCTTCTTGAGGAGCAATGGTGACAGGATAGATGCTCATCAGAGAAGTTGAAGTTAAGGGCAGAGCTCCCTGGAACCCATGTCTCCGTTATTCCTGGGCCAGAGGAGGGACTAGTTGGCTACAGGGTTCCATTGGCTTCATGGCAATGCTGTGTGCCTATGGGGCATCAGGCCCCCGGGGTTTGGGAGGATGAAGGGCATGAACGGGCTTCCCGCTGATGGGAAGGACTGGCCAACTTCTAGAGTGCCAGGGCATCCAGGGAGCACAGCATGGTAGCAATCAAGGATGATGAGGGGGCTCGGGGACTGCTGAACATGCAGGAGACCTAGCTTGGACTCCTGTATCCTCTCCATGTCTCTCCTTCAAGCCTGCTTTTGTTTAGAGCCTTATCACTGGCATTTCCGGGTGCCAGGGCATTATCCTAAGGGTACCCCAAGAAGGTGTGTGGTCAAAAGTCTCCCAGAAAAAGGGACTGTTGTTCTTTGGAGACCCAAGCTCAACTCCAGACTGAAAGAATGGGGCCCAGGGGAAGGGTTTAGCTTCCTGGTGGGCTTCCATTGACATAGGGTCTGTGCCTGGGGCCAGGGAGCAACACACTGTAGGGCTGTACCAAGGAAGGAAGTGGCTCCAGGTTATGCAGTTCAGTGTTCTTGGGACTGTGGCAGAAGAGGTGTCTTTTTGGACCCATGCACTCAAGGGAAGGATGTGTGATTCTCCCACATGCTGGCCAATGCACGAAGACTCCTGTAAGGGCAGCTTGATGGTAAGTGTGCTTTGGGCCCAGAGCCTAGTCTAGCTATCAGACCCTGCTGGGACTCCTTGATACAGGAGGGGGCAGTGGAATGCTGAATCCATGGGGTCACAGGCATCTCATCCTGCAGGACTGGTGGTCACAGCTGCAGATAGGGGTCACCTTTGGGGATGGAACACTGGGGTCCATATAGGAAATGACTGTGTGAGTCCGTCCCAAGGCTGGCATCCTTCCCCCTCCTCAGCTGTTTTCCTCTTTCCACCCAGGTCATGCTCCCGACAGAAAGAACGCCTTGATCCTCCTGGCAGCAGCCTAGCCCTGACTTTGCCAATCCTCAAGGCCCCTTGGCACACTGACCTGTCGTATCCATCTTGGTAAGCCAATCCAGGTGCCAGTGCCAGTGAGAGGATGTATGGGGAGAGGACCATCTAGGTTTGGGTTGATGATGAAACCTTTATTGTCTTGAAAAGAGATGAAGACATAAAAATCATGCTCAATAGGATTATGATGAAGCCCAGGTTAGGGGACATTGGTGGAAAAGAATCTGGGTATTCCTATGTCCCTCTTAAAGAGAGTGGTCACAATGGGGGCCATAGACCCGAAGGCCCCACCAGGCATCCCGGAAGGCCTAAGCCTTTGGAGGTGCTCCTCAGTCAGGCCCCAAAACTCCATACTCAGAAAGTGGGCACTGGCTACTCTGGGCACATGACAAGTCCCAGAGCCAAGCTTTTGCTCAGCTCCTTTGTCCTCCTTTTCCCTTCCAGTGAGAGAAGCAAAGCAGATGGATGCCTCTGACAGGCCAGGCACAGGTGAGCAGATGGCCAGGGTCATGGGGCTATATTACTGCTGCTAGGAGGAATGAAGTGTGAAGCCTGGGTCAAAATTGGTGGAGGCCTTTACCATGGCCACTGGCTACCCTGAGATGCCTCTAGGAGGGTTGCCATTTGGGGATTTCCCTGCTAAAGGTCACTTTCTCTTCTTGACCCTTCATGGTGATTGGGCAGAGGCTAATCATAGATGTTCATGTGAAGGGATGGACAAGTATGTTCCCAATCAGGCAACTTCAGTCACTGGGCCAGAGGAGGGACTTGTTGGCTACAGGTCACTGCCACTAGTTTCATGGCAGCAGTATGTGCCTATGGGGCATCTGTCCCTGGGGGCTGGGAGGATAAAGGCATGAATGAACTTACCCCTGATCAGAGGGACTGGGCAAATTCTGGAGTGCCAGGCATCCAGGGGGACATGCATGATAATGGGCAGGGATGAGGGGTCGGGTAAAGGGCATGGTCTGTATTCAATTTATGGGTACAGGAGGAGGTTTAGAGAGATTCCATGGGTTGTAGTACAGAGGCACATGTGGGTGTTTGGCTGTGGTCATGTGCCTTGAATACTTTTGCTGATAGGATGGAAACATGAGCCCAGCAGCAATTGTTCAGCTGCAGCCAATTGCCCTCTTTGATCTCTTATTTGAAGTTCAAGTTAGATCTTTTGTCAAGGTTTTTCCTGTCTTTCTGTGCATGTGTTGTGTTATTATTGTTTTTTCCCCTTTTATATGTGCATTCTTACTGTCATACTTTGTGTAGGATGTGTCTCCCAATATCTCTTTTTTAATGGTGGAATATTTGGAGGTTTTTTGTTTTATATTTGAGTGACATAAAGTCATCAGTTCTTTCTAGTCTTTTTTAAATAATATTTTTAAAATTTTTTAAAATTGTAGATGAACACAATATCTTCACTTTTATTTATTTTTATGTGGTGCTAGGGATCGAACCCAGGGCCTCACACGTGCAAGGCAAGTGTTCTATCACTGAGCTATAGCCCCAGCCCCCAAATATTTATTTTTTAGCTATAGGTGGACACAATATCTTTATTTTATTTTTATATGGTGCTGAGGATTGAACCCAGTACCTCATTCATGCTAGGTGAGTGCTCTGCCTCTGAGTCACAACCCCAGCCCCAGTTCTTCTTAGTCTTAATGGTTTGATTGGATTGTAACTGTATCTAGTTGAAATGTTCCTGCAAGAAGTAGATTATTAGTTGTCTTCCCTGTAAGTGCTCATCTTCCTTATATATCTTTTTCTTTTTCCTTCTCTCCTTGATGCCTGGCTGCCATAATGGATGTTTACTCATCCAGCTTGCCCTTCTACAGTCAAATTCTTCCTTACCTGTAACTACGTTTAATGGACTGTTTTATCCTTGGAGTGATTATCTGAACTGTGAGTACAAAAACTTTCCCTCCTCTATGTTTCTCTTGACAGGTGGTTTTTTTTTTTTTTTTACAGTGACCCAAATCTGATTAATACAAAAATTGGTACCAAGAAGTTGGGTCTCTGTTGTAACTAACCTGACCATACAGTTCACAATCCTTTGGAGTGAGTTTGCAGAGGAATTTAAAAGGTTTGGAGATAAAGCCTGTAGAAGGTCTCATACATTTTATGAATAGCCTAAAAGGTGACTCAGTTTGGCTCAGAATACCAGAATTCTGATAGAAATGTGACCTGTGTTCATAAGGTTTCATCAGGAAAGGGGAACTTGGTTGGGACTAAATAAAGGCCATTCATGTTATATCTGGCAAAAAAAACTTGCCTATAGTTTGCCTGTGTCTTGAGACGTTGTTTTGAGCCTGAATTTAAAGATGATGAACAAATTAATTTATGTTACTGACAACATTTTAACCAGGTTTACTGTGAGTTTCCAGGGCAGAACATAGAAATGCAAGATTGTAAAAACTTGAGTTTAGCTAGAAATGTTTGTATAAAACTGAGGCCAAGGAAGATGTGGTTGTTAAAGTGATCACAGCCAATAAAGATTTGCTAATTACTTTACACAGAGATAATAGGAAGATGCCTTGACAGCATCTCAGTAATTTGTAAGACCATATCTATTGCAGGTTCAAGAGTCTTGAAAGAAAAATTCCTTGGAATTTTAGTTTCCTATGAAACTAAAATTTAATAATTTGATGACCAAAACAATGCCAAATTTTCAGCTCCTGAGTATCATGAGACATTATTATTTTCAGAATAATGAAGGTACATGTTAAAAATGATGACAGTTGTTTCTAATATGAAAATGATGCTGACCAGATCTCCAATTCATGAGTTCATTATTGGTTCTCCTCAATGCCTAATTGGCGCACTTGATGGTATCTTCACTTCTCACTGAAATTTTCAGTCCTATTGCTGTTTACCCATTCTTGTCCTCCTAGATAAGGACTACTGAGTAAGAACCTGCTTTGTCAACTCCTGCCACTCAGGTATGCTGCAGTGAATCTAATGAGTCTCCTGTCCCTTTGAAGCATGGTTTCAGGATGCCATTCTGGTAGGTGTTTACAAAGCAAAGTGGATATATGTGTGGAGAATATCTTAAGGAAACATGATGATGTAAAAATCATGCTCAATGGGACTATGCTAAGGCTCAAAAGAGGCAAAAATCCTGGCAACGAGGTGTAAGAAGTAATTAGATTTGGAGAGGGGTATTCATTTTGGGATAAGAATGAAGAAACTTTGAAGGGTATCTTGTTTTACCTGCCTCTCTTTGTTTCATAGAGAATATTCATATTCCTTTATTCTGATCTTCATATCTTTATTTTTATTACTCATAAATTGGATGTTTTAGCTTATTTTTCCTCCTTGTGTGCTTCAGAATGTTCAACCAGAAAAGAAATGCCATTACATGCATTAGATATGAATTCTTCCATAGTGATTAAAGATTATCAGGTAGACTATTTGACTCTTGAAGTCTGGCCTTTGAAATGATTATAGCCAGGCCTCGTGGCACAAGTCTTGTAGTCCTAGCTACTCAGGAGACTGAGGCAGGAGAATCACTTGAACTCTGGGCAGAATAACAAGACCCCATCTCAAAAAAAGAAAGAGGGTGGGGGGAGGGAGGAAGGAATGAAAGAAAGAAAAGAAGACATTCCATGCATTCATTTATGTAAAATGAATGAGTGATAACCTGTTCTTCCCAATGAGTGACTGATGAACACTCATTAAACTCTTTTCACCTAAACAAAACATGCTTTGATTTTGATTTGAAGATAGGATGTTTTGTAATTCATTGCAATTATCTCTTCAGTGATTCTATATGCACAAATTAACAATCCGTTTCTCTTATTCTATTCTGTGGATTACTATGGTGTTATAATGTTTTTGGATCATTGAGCACTATTCACAACTGAAAGACTTTGCAATTTCAGAGAATTGTTTGAGACTGAGGCACAGTCATTCCTCCATAACTACAGGAAATTGATTCCAGGATCCCATGCAGACACCAGAATCTGTGGATGCTCAAGCTCCTTATATAAAATGGTATACTATCTGCATATAATGCAACCCTCCTGTAGATTTTAAATCATCTCTGAATCATTTATAGTACTTAATACAATATAAATGCTTATATAACAATTTAGTTCTTATATGTAAATAGTTATTATACTATATTGCTTAGGGAATGATAACAATACAACAAAAGAGTTGGTACATTTTCAATACAGATGCAACCATCTTTGGCCTAACTACATAGTACACAGTCCATGGGTATTTTAATTATGGATGCAAAACCCACAGATACCTAACCTATACTGTATATAAGCCGCCATTTACTGAAATTGAAAGCAATGATTAGTCTTAAGTCCTATTTTCACATTCTGAGTCTTATGTGGTTTCACTATATTCAATAAAAGGTATACATATGTTATATATGATGCCGGTATTACTAATATAATTACTAATATAGGTACTTGCATATGTAACCAAGTGATGAGAGTAATATTTCATCTGTAGGTAAATCATTCCTTGACATGAAAACCTAAGATCAAAATACATGAAACCTATTTGCTTTGTCCTTACTGTAAGTGGTCAATCAATGTTCTGTAGCTTTATAGTAGTTCATATTTGGAGTATCAAACATATCAGTCTTATAAAATTAGAAATAGCTGTTGGGTGCCATATGTACATAAGAGATGTAATGCTTCCCTTTGACTATGTTCTTATTCCTATCTCCTAGAAAAAGACTACTAAGGAAGGAATTTTTTACACTGTTGTGCTCATGGGGCAATTTGTACCACCAAAGTGTCTGACAGTAAATATGTGGCATCTGGTTGACTATAGTACCAGTGTTTAAAGATCCATTTCTGGCAAGTATATTACACCTAAATATATGAGTGCCATGACTTAGTTCAATGATGATATGTTATCTTGAACAAAAGTGATGGCTCAAAAGTCAGGCTCAGTTGGATTATGCTGAGGCCCAGTTTAGGTGAGAATTGTGAGATAAGACTTTTGGATTTTTTGGTTTCTTTTCATGAGAATTTTATTTTGGGTTTCCAATGATGAAGTCTCCTGTGAAACTCGTTTTCATTCTAAATACATTTTTTTCTAAATGCTTCTAAGTCAAATTATGATCAAGTTTTCTTTAATTCCAATTTTTCTTGAATATTTGGCACTAAGATATTGGCTTTTTTCTCTCTCATCTCATGTTTCAGTGACTCCTGCTGGCACTATTCTACTGAGCAGAGGTGAAAGGCTACCTTTGCTGGCTAAAAAATTCCAAATTAGACCATTGGATTAGTGAAGACTCACCTCTATAATAATTATTTATTCATTTAGACAGTATATCATTATAGGGTATATAATATCATTATAGGGTATATATATATATCAAGGTTTATAGGGTATATCATCTTCACAATGATTGAAACATGAGAAAATTCTTACATTTATCTATAATTGCTTTTATTGAAGGTTGGGAAATATCATATGTTGGAATTATGCTCAGTGTGTTATAGTTATTTGGGGTCTCAATACACTAATAGAAAAAAATTAGTACTGAATTTTGACAGTGTTGGGATATTTTTTGATCACTGAAGACCCTTGAAACTAGGGTAAGAAAATGAATTTCATTAATGTTTCTTCAAAAAAATTGAAATTGGATAAACTGATGAACACATTGGTTCCTAATTTTTATCTCCCAAGTTTCTGTATTTTCATTATAATGAAAGTGTGTATGTGCTATGAGTAAAGTCAAATGTTAATAAGACCCTTGGGATAATCATGGCCATTTGTTGAGGCAAGACAATTGCCATTATAGGTTATTCTTCTCAATGAGTAACTTATAGGCTTGATAATATTCTTGAGAAAAAAAATTATTTTTTCACTGAAATTGCACTGATAGAAAGTTGACAAGTTTTATGATTATAAGTACAATTCAAAGGTCTAATATTCATTTGATCTAAATACAGATGTTAATGTATTAACCCCAAATGTATGTCAGGATGAAAATGTTTCTAGTTCATTAATGACTCAGAACATAAAGACAATGACATTATGGCTATATGTTTGAATTCTAATATATATTTCAATTTATTCACAAAATGAAATGCAGTTATGAGTAGTCAGCTATATTTTTAACTGAGTGTTATGTGGCTCCACTAAGATCATTATATGATAAATTACAAGCAATAGATAAAATCAATAACTATTAATATAGCTTCCATTCATATGTAAATAAGGTTGATCAATTAAAGTTCTTGTTTCTGCCTTAAACAACTTTATAGGTTCTCCAAATTCAAGCAATTTTATATTTAGCCTTTATTCTATAGCATCTATAGTGGATACTTTTTCAGTATAAAGCAAATATCTCCATTAAGAAATAGCATGCATGAGCCATACATATTTTCCTCTTGATCTTGCTCTTCTTTCCTTAGGTAATGAAGACCATTTTTGGCTTGTTGACACCAGTACAGCTGACACATCCAAGTACCTGTCTTGTTTCCTGTCAACTTCAATCATTTTTAACAATACCATTATAGTAGGTATTCTCAGAAAAAGTGAATGAATGTATGATGATGGTTTGTTTCAATGGTTTGTTTCAATGATAAGACCTTATATTTTCTTGAGGACGTTGATGGCATAAACCAGGTGGCCCTTGTCTTTGTAGTGGGCTTAGTTAATTTATTTGAAGAGGGGAAGGGGTTATGGTTCCTGATTTTGTGGGTATTTTTGTTTTGTTTTACAGGATATAAAATTTCTCCCTTTTTATTTTTTCCCCTTTACCAAATGATACTCAAAGGGAATAATTTCCCCCTTGCATTTTTCCTCCCCTGGAAGTATACATTTAGAAGACTGACGCTAAATTGTATCCTTTAAAATCATGCTTACCTCTTTAAATTAAGTCTGATTCTTTAAATCTTGCACTGGGCCATCTGGCTGTTTACATCTGGTATAACTTAAAGTTTCCTTCCAGTAGTCAGAGATTCAGTCTGTCCAAGTCTTTCTAGGGTTTCCATGGCTTATATGTGGAGAAGACTAATTTCTAGAGTCACTGCACTATCCTGCAGGTCCCTCAAAGTGCTCTTCAACTTCTATTGGGTCTGTGGACATGGCATTTGGGTCTGTTGCTTTATTTCTTTTTACTCAGTTACTTTTAAGTTCTTGTACGTTCTGTCTTTAAGTAATGTTGAGATGTACCTTTGCAAAAAGTTTTCTACCTGTGTGTTTTAGTCAGCTGTTTTGCAGCTGTGACCAAAAAAAACTAACAAGAACATGTAAAGGAGGAAAAGACTATGTAAGGGCTCAAGGTTCAGAGGTCTCAGTCCATAGATGACTGACTACCTTCCTCAGGGCCTGAGATAAAGCAGAACATCATGGCAGAAGTGTGTGGCAGAGGAAAGCAGCTGGGAACATGGTACCAGGAAGCAGAGAAAGAGCTCCATTCAATAAGAACAAAATATATATACCTCAAAGGCACACCCCCAGGGACCCACCTCCTCTAGCCACAGCTTATCTGCCTACAGTTATTAACCAGTTATTCCCTGTCACAGGATTAATTCACTGATTGTGTTAAGATTCTCATAACCCAGTCATTTCACCTCTAAACTTTCCTGCATTGTTTCATACATGTACTTTTGGAGGATACCTTACATATAGACCATAGCATTGTAAAAACTATTTGGTAATATTTGGAGCAGACATTTTGCTAGAATTATTACTATACCCCCCATTATTTTTGACTTTTCAAAAATCTTGCTTTTTTCCATTGAGGAATTTTATTTGAATTACATTCCTACAAAAAGAAACCCAGGATTTTCCCTCCTACATCTTTGTGGCCCATTATGCCAGCTGAGGTCATTAGTACAAAGAAACCAAACTGATGGGATGAGAACAGATTCTTTTGCCATTTTCTAGATCATTTAGTTGCACATAAAATCTATGACCAATTACTCCATACTTGTTTAATCTATCTGTGATGTTCACAACAATTTCCCCATCTCTGTGAGCATCAATGATTTCAAATTCACTAATGTAACCATGCTTCATCATCCCAATTAGAAACTAGGCAATAACTTTGTAGCACAGCCTAATAAGAAACTGGTGTTTTCCTCTTTTGGGAGTATTATCGGTATCAGCCAAGACATCAAAGCATTCCATAATGGTGACATGGAAAGATGAAAGAGCCCAATGTCATGTTTTGTTGGACACATCTACATTATTTTTTAGTCTAGAATTAGCATAGTCCTACACTAAAGGGATGGCCAATTTTGTGTCTATACTAAATGCTCAGGGTATTTAAGAAAGAGTTCTACATTCTTTCTGCATAACTCATGTCGTAAGTTATCTTGGCTCTTAATATACTTTTCTCTCTTGATAGATTTTGATTTGTAACAACTTTTTAAATATAATTTGAATTATTTTTGTCTAACAAATAACAATTATTTATAATTATTCCTTTGATGGATGTAGTAGTTAATATTGTATATGTAGTATCCCTATATATTTACTTCTATTTTTTGAATATTTTACACAGCTTCTGGAAGGACATATATTTTATACAATAGTAATGAGGACAGAGTTTCATAAAAAATTCAGATATTTGAGAGCATTTTCAGGTTAATAAAGGCAACAATTCATGAAACAGAATTGTTTGGCCTGAATGTAGATTGTGTTGAAATAAAGTTGCTCCTAGTCAGATAAAACAATGGTGTGGGGTAATGATCCTTTGATCCTAGTATGAACATAAACTTCCCTGGATTGATTTAAACCAATCAGATGAAAGAAGTATCATTTTGTACTGCTATCAGGTATATTGTAACATGCTTTAATAATCTTCTAAATGATATAACCTAAGTTCATAGTTAACTTGTGATTTTTTGTTTCTAATATATTAAGTAAATATATCAGTATTGATAACTGTCCCACTGCAGTATAAATTCATGTATTAGTCTAGACAAAAGGGTCCTGAGAAACTTCTAGAGTTGCCATTATAGTTATCTACCCAAAACTCAAGTCAAATGTCCACCTATTCTCTTATAATTTTTTTTTTTACATCTCAGGGTATTTTCATAAAATCTTTACTGGTTGAATATAGGTTTAGAATTTCCTATTAAAGAGACAAGTGCTGTCTCACTTATTGGATTATTTATAGAAATACTCTGCATGCTGAGGATAAACCAATAGGAGTATTAGTATGGTATGAGGAATGCTTATTTATTGGTAGTAGATTGGTCTGGATTGATGATAAGCACAAATATCTGAGGACATTAAGTTCCAGCTGAATGACTCTCTAAAAGGACAAATAACACTTTCAGAACTAGCTCTTTGATGATCCTATAATACCACTATCATGTACCCACCACCATTCTTCCTTCCTTCCTTCTGTCTTTCCTTCCTTCCTCCTATCCTTCCTTCCTTCCATCTTTCCTTCCTTCCTCCTTTCCTTTCTTCCTTCCTTCCTATATCGTAGGATATTTTCATAAAATATTTGAATACAAATTTAGAATTTCTTATTTAAGAAACAACTGCTTTGTCACTTATTGAATAACTTCTCAGAGAGTATTAGCTATTTTTAGAATAAATAATTTAGGGAGGAAACAAGTGAATAATGAAATGACAAATGTGACAAAAAGTTAAGCAACTGTGAGTTTGTGGCAAGGACTAGAAATGTTGGGATTCCTGTATGATACATAAATAATTATAATAGAACCAACATTGTGCTTCGATTTTAATTTTTAATTGATGTGGTACTTTTCTGATCTGATTTATTTTCTTTGAATTTTGCTATAGGTAAAAGCTAGAACAAGTTATTGACTTCAGAGAAAAGAGGTGAGCAGCTACTTTCATGCTTTTAAAATTCTGTGTATTCAGTGGTCAATGATGTCAGAACTTCAAGGTTTATGAGTTCAGAGGCTCAAAGGAGATTATTTTTATGATAGACATATTTTTTCCTCATGAATACCATTAATGGATGGTGAAACTTCATCATTGTTCCTTCTCTTTTTAAAAATCCCTTTTTAAAATTTTATTTATTTTAATTTGTTATACATGATAGCAAAATGCATTTCAATTCATAATATACATATAGAGCACAAATTTTCATGTCTCTGATTGTACACAAAGTAGAAACACCATTCATGTCTTCATACATATACTCAGGGTAATGATATCCATTTCAGTCCACCATCTTTCCTAAAAATCTCTTTTGAAGTAACTTCAAAAAATAATTATTCCTTTGATAATTTTTAGTTACTGACTTTTTTACCATTTTGTTTGGTGAAAATGATTTCATTATGAAATTTAAGTGTGGTAAACATTGATGTTTTTATCTTTTGTCTATCACATTCAGAACTTTGATGTTTCTAACCTTACTTGTACTATAATCATACAATATATTATTCTGATGTCTAATTTACCTCTTTAAATTTAGTTGACTTAAGGTTTTTTAAAATTTCCTAACAGGTTGTCTAATTTTACTAGAGTGATCCAAGATCATTTATTTCACATGCAAGTTTCATTATTCAGATACTAAACAAAATGTGTACTGTATGTTTACTGCTTTTCATGCATAACACAGTACATAAATCTGTACAAAATAAGCCTGGCTATGGAAATGCTTACTTGTTAGAAGGGTGCTTGTCTGGATTGATGAAGAGAACAATTGTCTGAGGATGCTGAGGGACTCTTTCCAGATAGCAATCTGAGGTCCAGATATGTGACCCTTTAATAGGACAAATAAGACTCTCCAAACCTGGCTTTAATTGGTAACACTTCGGTGACAATAGAATGACACTGTGAGCATGTCTTTTCTTTCTCTCATAGCAGGTAATAGCATCTTATTCTCTAAGGCAATGTGCATCTTTTAAATGTTCAGTGACTCAAAACTTGCTTCATTTTCTTACACTGAATTGTGCATATTTATATACAGAAAGTACATTCTTGAGCAGCAAATGAGGAGATTATTAAGAAGATTGAATTAAGAGTCAAGCAACTGTGATATGTACTGGAAATTCCACTGGTATTGCTAAAAGAAAGGAACACTGTCTGACCATATTAAATAATGACCATAGAAACTATTTTAGTGCCTTGATATTTTTACTATTCAATATTTTCTAAAACTATGTCTTTCCTTTTTTCTATCAAGTCTCATGAGATAGAAGAGCTAGAATCGGATCTTCCACTTCAGAAATAGGGGTGAGTAACTAGACCAATATCCTTTGAAATTCATATGTTGTGTGTTGTGGCCAAATTTTGAGGTCTCTGTGCTTATCTTTTCAGAATCTTATTTGAGAATATTTTTAAGACATGTCATTTTCCTCAGTGACACACTAACTCAGATTACCTGCATTATTGAGTTCTTACCATTTTCATTCCTTCCTGCTTTTATGGAAAAAAGTAGGATTTAAGATAATTGTTTTAGCAATTTCATGTTGGCTCAAAAATCATTATATTAAAATATAGCTGTGGCAAAATATTTATCAGAATTTCATCATTTGTTTAATTATTAGAGTTTCAGAATACAGAATCCATGGCTCATAAGTTCTTTGTGGTTTTATATATATATATATATATATATATATATATATATATATATATATATATATATAAACAATATGTTTCTGTTTCAATTTAATAACTGAGGATTGACTTAAATTATTTTTTTCATATTTTTGCAAATCAGAAAGTTATTTATGAAACTTTGTTCTCTCATTCTATGACATTATAAGATAGTAATAGAAATAAGAATTGGATGGTTTCTGGAATTTTTGAAATATATCTTGATCACTGAATTGATGACTTGCTGTGTTTGGATGGTACAAATCTATTGAACTGTACAATTTAGAAAGATAAAAAGGTATCTCATCAAACTAGTCCAAATATTGGTTCATATATTTCTTAGGATTATTGTCCAGTAGATTGTGTGTTACTTTGTGCTTAATGACAGATCAAAAGTGTCCTCTCTTTAACGCAAGCATTTTAAGAAAATCTTGTGGAATATTTATTTATGTATTTTTTAACACATTTGTTTATTTTTCTTGCATATGCTTAAAGTCTTTTACTTACATGTTTTTCTCCGTTATGAAAATCATAGTGCAATTATTTCTATACCACATGCAAAGATATTAATTACTCTTAAGGCACTAAAGGCCCACATGTATTGTACAGTTGAAAAAACTTGAGTAATACTGATAAATCAGGTGAAATATAAAGCCAACAGTCAGAACAATAAACTGCTGCAATTTTCAATTCCTTTTCACCATTTGAGTTCTTGACCCACTAAAACTAAACAATGTGGATCAACTTTTAATCCTACTTCCTTAATTTTTCTTTTTTAATTCTAAGATCAAAAAGCTCTAGCCATTAATTACTGCCATTACGTCATTTTAAGAAATTCTAAAGATAATCAGAATATTACATGATTTATGACATATTTTGACACTCTCTGCTTTTCAGAGGTAAAATATTTATTTGCTGCATCTTAGGAAACAAATTTTCTATATTAATTTAAATATCTATAAATCCATCTATCTTTATGTTTTGACTTATCTAACAATCGATTTATTTCATTATAAAGAAGATACTGATTTGATATATATTTTGGTAGCAATATGTATTGTGTAATATCCAGAGGTCAAACCGGTCCTTACATCTCTATGTCAAACACAATAGATATGTCACGGTCCTCAGTAGATCTGAAGTACACCACATTTTCTTTAATTCCTTATTTCCAGAGTAAAGGTTGTTAACACTTTCTTACTACCACAAGATATAATACATTTACAACCAGTATACACAAGGCTTAATGTACTCATGCTTCTGTTTCTATAAATTATTTCTAGAAAGAGTAATGCTTGAAAGGTTTTCTTTAGTAAGCCATAGTCAAATCACCACCCAACATTCAGCTTACCATACTTCAGTAATGTAATATTGAGACAAAGTTATTTATGTTTTATAAATGGAACAGTTAGATAGAATACTCAAATAATATTTTATTATTTAAGATGTTTACTTAAGTAATACTTGCTTAAGGTTAACACTACTAAAATAAATTGGAATTAAATAATTGAAACTGACAGTGCTTTTGAAAATAAATGCCATTACAGTAGTACTTATCACTGACAGTCATACTAAGGCAGTCTTTAATTTCCAATTAGTTTGATACAGCTAATTGCAAAACAAAATAAGTTCTGAAAGAACCATTCCCTGGATATTTTTTTTTCTTTATTTATCATAATATGCATTTATAAATAATAATAAAGACAACAAAAGTGCAAAATTGAGTACAATGACAAAGCAGAGTTAACACAAAGAAATTAATCAGGATAGCTTTCATTGTATGAATTTAGAAAAATTTATTAGGTTAATCCTCTGAAATACTTTCTAAATTTTAACATTATAATAGGAATTTTTAAAATTTTTTAAAATTGTAGTTGGACACAATACCTTTATTTTACTTATTTTTATATGGTGCTGAGGATTGAACCTAGGGCCTCACACATGCTAGGCAAGCACTCTACTGCTGAGCCACAACCCCAGCCCTATAATAGGAATTTTTAAGATTGTAATATTACTAGTTTTTCCTTTCAGACAATTTGAACAGATTCATACTTGACATATAAAGTTTTTTTTCCTTGTCTTTAGTGCTAGCAATATATGCTTAAGAACAAATAAGAAATTGAATATAAGGCCACAAATGAAGGTCTCAGGTTGAGTAGTCAATCAATTATATAAGACACAAAAAATTTTAATTTAGTATAATGTTTGATTAGCATTATGAAAGTGTACTGAGCAGTATATAAAACAGACATTACTCATCTCCTTGAAACTTCCAATAGCTACTGGAACTCATATCTTCTTTTAATATCAACAATTATATAAACTTTTAATGGCTTATTCAGATGATAGCCCAGTGGGGTGTGTGTGTGTATGTGTGTGTGTGTGTGTGTGTGTGTGTGTGAGAGAGAGAGAGAGAGAGAGAGAGAGAGAGAGAGAGAGAGAAATGGAGAGAGTGCTAGCTCACATGGCACAGAGAACATCAGGTTATCAGTGTGCTCTGAATATGGTTAGAGTCATGTTAAAACCATGGCTTCCCAGTTCTGGGTTGAGCCCACAGATCAAAGCATTCCCAGTAAATATGGCAGGTTCAAGTCCCTTTTCACACAATATTCCAATATCATCTTATGTCAATAGTTTCTAAGAATACTATTTGTGTGAAGACAAATCCAATATAACCTGTAGGCAGCCTATGGGGTGGTAAAGTCATTTTTTTATTTGCTTACTGAACAAGAAAAGATAATAAGATTGAGAGATAGTTGCAAAGTGGTTGTGATGGAATAGAGATTGAAGTGTAAGTTTATACTAATGATGCTTTTGGTTTGGAGAAAACTGCTAAAACACAGGTGTCACAAAATCCTTGATATGACTCCTTTATCCAAAGAACTTAGCCAATTTTTTAGTGGAATAGAAATATGGGTTCTCTTCTGAGGTTGTATCTAGTAATGCAATCTATGGAAGGGTACTTGGGAGTAATAATAAACTTGTTGTAAGAAGGTTTACATTGAATGCTGCTTTGGTGCTGGTCCCTTTTTGTTCAATCCAAGTGATAAATATTGAATACTGATTCTTAAAGCAATATTTATTCCACTCTAATTTTTGCATGTGTCAACATTTCCATGTCTCAAATTCTTTCATGCTCTTGGTGATAAATAGTTCTAAAGTTTATGAATTTGCTATATTGAAAGCTATAAGAAACAAAAGATGAAGTGTATACTATTTTCCTAATGCAAATAACAATTCCGTAGGAAAGTATCCCCAGTTTTAAAAGTGCTAATTTGTCAGGAGCTACCTTACTAAGATTAGTCATGAACAACTATATGAGGATTATTAAAAATTATTTTCATATATCAATCAGAGGTCCAGATGAATGTTATTTGACAGCAAAAGAAGACTTTCAGAATTGGTTCAATGTGGTGACCTCTTCAGTTCTCTCCCAAAGCTCCTATGTATGTGCCTTTCTCCTTTTTTTTCCCTTACCAAATTGCATTGTTATAATAACTTCATTGGGCAGGCTTCATTCTTAGGGTTTCACATTAAGGAGAGGTTTGGTGTTTTATTTATTTTGAACTATTCAACATTGATTGAATAAAAGTACTTGATAATTTGAATACAGACATATCTAGAAATAATGATTGATGGGAGTGACTATAAAGTGGACTGTAGTATAAGTAAAATTGTAAAAGTTGTAAGGGAATGTGAGAAACTTAGATGGTACATAATGAAAATAGGCATAAATTATGATGTTCAAATGTTATTGATATTTGTGTATTTTCTCAATTGGTTTGTTTTCTTTTCTTGTAGTTATTTTTTTGGCATATAAAATAATCATAAAAAGTAACAGCATACCCAGAAATAGAAATAAGCAGATCCCTATATCTTTGGAACATTTCATGTGATAAGATAGATATAAGGTGAATCCTGATAAATTTTAAAGTTACTAAATTAATATAAAACGTGTTGATCTAACCATAATGGGGTGGAATTAGAAATAGGATGAGTATCTCTTAAAAAGCTACCAATATTTGGAAATTAAAATTAGTCCTTATAATCTATTCATTGATCAAAGAGGTTATAAAAAGAAAAATTAAAATGTATTTTGAATAAATAAAGATTAAAAACTAGCAGGGGATATTTATAGAATGGAACTCCTATACTAGAAATAAAGAAAGTTCTCAAATCAATGAGTTTATACTGTACCTAAAAAGTTAAAAAGTAAATTAACCCAGAGTAAAAGAAACAAACAATTATAAATATGAGAGCAGATCAATTAAGTATGTATGCATACATATATATTACAAATGTATATATACATACACATATAAAGATAAAGAGAGCAAAAAAGAGAAAGAAGAATGGGTGAAACTGAAAACTGGTCTATTGAAAAGATAAATAATATTGACTATTAAAAAGAAAAAGAAGGATATGAATACTAATATTATGAAATGCAAGAAAGAACATTATTACAGATTATATGAACATTAAAATGATAATAATTAAAATTTATGGAAAATGTATACCAATAAATTGGGCAACTTAAATGAAATGAAAAATTCCTTAAAAGATGCAACAAACAAAAATTCAATGAAGAAAAAGATAACTGGAATAGATTTTTTCATAGAAGTTTATTTGTAGTTAAA